CCTCACGTCGGGATGCGGCCACTCCCCAGGCCCCTTCGTGGCCTCTGCCCAGGCCCATCCTGAGAGCCCGAGGGACTGCCGCGCTCGGAGCAGCCCCTGGCCGGTCCTCCCGGGACGGGCGGTGTCCAGGGGCAGAAGGGCTGCAGCGGCCACTGGTGAGAAGGCGCCCAGCCCACCACCTGCCAGCAGAGCCACGGTGGCAGCCTCCCAGCAGTCACCTGCCCACAGCATTGGGAGGTCCGCCTCCACGTCGGATCCCGCGTTCCTGGGCCGCTTCTAGGGACCCCCACTCCCCACCCAGACGGGCTGCGGCTTTCCAGCTGAGCTGCCAGCGCAGGACAAGAAGCAGCCGTGGTCGCCTCGGGGGTGGCCCGGCCTCCATCTGGCCCCTTGGTACAAATGGCCTGGCTGGAGGAGCCTTCTGGAGGCGAGGAGCGGGGGACTGCAGGGACAGGAAGGACCCCCACATCCGTGCCGCTGTCCCGAGGGCTCCCACCATGTCCCCCACTTTCACTGCCACTTGCAGTTCTCGCACCACGGGCTCCAGGGGGCGTCTGCAACAGCGGCGTGGCCTCGGGGTAGCACTGGGGGAAAGGGGACGTTTTAGCCCCTTGGCGGGGCACCAGGTGCAGGGCCCCGTCCGGCAGGTCCCACGCACGGTGGCGGACGGGACAGCACAAGAGCACTGAGGTTCGAGGCTTTGTTTCCGCATCAGAAAGGACTTGGGCCAACGGGAACATGGCTTTGTGTCGAGTCCGTTTTCAGGTTCAGTGAAGGAAGGGGAAGGCAGGCATCGGGTTCCTCCTCGGGAAGGTGCGTGGGCCATGCTGAGTGCAGCCCGAGGGCCGGGCGTCCTGGTCCACGCTGCCGGCCACGGGGCTGGGGGTTCTGCACGCCGGCGCGCCCGCCCCACCTCAGCCAGGCCCAGCCGCGAGCTCCCCACTGGCTTGGTTCTCACACAGGCTCCTTGGGAAACCGTGGAGCTTGAAAGCCTCCAGATAAATCCACGAACCCAGCCTTGCCTGGGGCCTGCAGTGGGGTGCAGCCCTAGGCGCCCACGCGGGGCCCATCTGTGTGTGGCCGGCCCCCCCCCCCCAGCCTCGGAAGCAGCCTGTGTGGACGCATGGGGCGGAGGAGGGGTGGGGGCTCCTGGTGGGGGCTGCCCCGTGGTCACGTCGAAGACAACATCTGGGGCCCCCCTGGACAAATGGAAGGGTGGGGTGGGCAGGGGGCACCCAGCCCAGAGGGAGCCCTTGTCTCGTGACACAGGCCATCCGAGAAGGGGCCTGAGGGTGTCCACCCGGCCCTGCCTGATACTCACGCTTCCTGCTCGCCCTCTGGGTCATGGAGACCCGGACCCACAAGTCCTCTCCAGGCCGACGGCTCTGCCTGTGGACGTAGCCCGCTCCTCGGCTAAGGGACCTGCCCTGCCCTGAAAACTAGTGGGGTGTGTCTGGTCACCTCCACGTGAGGCGGCTCTCGGCCCCTGAGGGCCGATGACATTTTATTTCTCTGATTCATGTAAATGAAGCAAACATTCCCGCCTACGCCTGGCTCTCCTCCCGGGCCCACGGGGCTGCTGGATGGTGGAGGCCCGACCCCCGCGAGGCTTGCTACCCCGGCCCCCTCCGCCTTTGTCTCCGTGTCCTACGGTGTCCTACGAGGCTGACTAGGGAGTCTAACTGAGTTGGCTGTAAAAAGGTAATTAATCGACGTTTCCTCCCAGAGAGGTCAAGCACCGACCTCCCCGTGGCGCACCTCCCGTCGCGTGTCCCCCACCACCACCCCCACCGCGCCCCCCGGAGGCAGCAGTGACCTTTATCTTGCTGATAATTAAAATCGACATAAAGGCTTTGGAAATAACTCCTGAGAGCTGGCGTTGGCATCTGCGGGCAGGGCCCTGCCTTGCGGGTTGGCCAGGCTGGGGGCCGCCCCCCAGAGTGGCCAGGACCAGGTCTGTGGGCCGCTACAGGCCCAGCAGGACCTTCACCCCAGAACCGTCCTGTCAGGAGCAGGAGGGGATCGCAAGCACTTGCTTCTCTGGGAGGCTCCCTTGGGGCCAACGGGGCACAGGTGGAGAAGGATGGGCTCCCCAGAGAAGCTGGTGCCCCTTGGGCAGCTCTCAGATGGGTGGGGGCTCTGGCTAGGAGCGCGGCCGGGGAGGGGGCGTCCACGCTGGCCTGCGCCATGGGCCTGGCGGTGTCTCTGCAGCGAGGTCCTTTATCAAGAGGTGGTCTGACATCCTCTGGGTGGCACCTATGGCGGGGCGGACGGGTGAGGAAGGGGCCACAGGAGGGGGGAGGGTTGGGGGGTGTACGTGGCCTCCCTGAGGCAGCAGGGGCAGGCCTGCCGGGACAGGGCACCTGCACAATGCCCCGGGCTCAGGGCGCCAGCGGAGACTGGGGGCCCATCAGGCAGATGCTTGGCGTGCGGCGGGGTCGTGAGCGCGGACGAGGTGTGGGACTGTCAGGAGTGGCCAGCGCTGGAGCTCCTGTGGCCACAGGGCTTGGTATGTGCTCAGGACGCAGGGGACAGTCGGGGGGGTGGTGGGTTGGAGCAGGCGGGGACCTTGCCTGGCAGCGGGTCCATGTGCTGGGAGCAAGGGCGGGCCCCACAATGGCGACTGTGGAGGGACCAGGACCGCGGGGACGCCAGTGAGGGGAGGGACGGAATCCTGGGTGTCGCCCCCATTTCTGGCGGAGCGAGCAAGAGTGGGGGACAGCGAGTGGGGTGGGAATTGGGTCTGGGGGACCAGAGCTCCCCATCTGGGAGGCAGCACATGGAGATTCCTGCAAGGAGCTGGGGCAGAGGTCTGACCCCAAGGAGGCCAGAGCAGGCCCGCTGTGGTTCTCCACTCGTGGGCAGTAAGGTGCCCACCCGAAGGGGGTGTGCATGGGACGGTGGCATTGGATGTCCACCCAGGAGGCGGGGGGGGCGGTCAGCTGTGGCTGCTGGTGCCCAGGACAGGGCAGGCCCAGGAAATGTGCACTTACGTTAGGGCAGGGACACCAAGCCAAGACTGTGGGAAACCCCAATTCTCAACTCTTCGTGTGAAGCTTGGAGCTCACGGTCCCGCCCCGGGGCCCACGGCACCCCACACAGATGCAGATTTAAGTGGGTCTCAAATTCCTACGCGCCCCAGGGAGCCCTGTTCTCTCTCGGGGGCAGAACAGGGTCTGCAGGGCCTCACCCGGACCCTCCAGGGGGGTGGGGGGGTAGGGGCATACTCTGAGAGTTCCGGCCAGCCCACAGCACCACCCACCCCACAGGCGCCCTGGGCCACAGTCCACGCACGGGCGGGTGGCAGGGGGCAGCAGGCCTGGCCCGTCGGGACATCTCGCAGGCAGGGCAGATAGAAGCTGACTGACCACTTGGATGTACGAGCCAGGAAGCCACGGTCCAGCTGAGACGCGGAGGCGAAGGAGGCCAGGGGACCATGTCCAGGAACAGGGGCCAGCACGCAGGGACCAAGCTTGGGCAGGCTGGGGTATGCCCCAAGCACCAGAGTTGCTCATTCCTGGGAAGGTGGCAGCAGGCCTTGATGTCACATCTGAGAAGTGGGGATGATGGGGGACAGACAGGTGTGTGAGCCCCGTGTGGTCACTGTACTTTGTGCAGAAGGGGCCCTCGTATGCAGGGACCCAGTCTTGCGCGGTCACCCGGATGGGAGTCTAGGCTACAGCGCCAGGGTCCTCACCATCCGGAGGCGATCGGCTCCGCCCGAGCCCGCTAGAAGCTGTCCATCGCTCAGAAATAGAACTATGCCACCAGCCCCGCGGCCCCCAGTCACTGCCCAGGACATAAATAGCGCGAGGACTGCAAAAGCTAATGGAGAGAAGGTCCTTCATTAAAGAGTGTCCTTGCAGAAGGACAGATTTTGCTTTTTATAATGCGCCATAATGATGAAGACACCTTTGAGAGAAGTAATTCCCTACCTGTGATCTCGAAATACTTCTGGGGCCTGTGTGCTCAAGCTGGGTCCAGGGAAAGGGCCTTAATACCCTGCAGCCCCGGGCCCCATCCAGTGCATGGATGAGAGCCGGCCCGCCGCTCACCCAGGGCGCCCCCCAGGCCTCCCTACAGACTCCGTTAGCGGGAGCCTCCAACCCATCTTGCCCACCCCCGCTGTCCCCACGGCCCCATCCAGCCACCGCCCTGAGGCCTGCTGGTGGCTTCTCCCTGACAGTGGGTGAGTGCAGGACAAGGACCTCAGGACAGAGGTCCGTTGAGAGAGCCGGGACCCCAGCCCCCACAGGAGAGCGGACCCTGATGCATGTGTGTTTGGGACAGCCCTGGTGACAACCCCGTCTCAGCCACCAGCTTCCTGTGCCTGGGACGGAAGGAAGGGGACAGCAGGGCCGCAGCTCCATCTGCCAGTGGGTGGAGCCTGGGGAGGGGACTGCCAGAAGGAAACACTCCATACCCCCCAGGAGGAGGGTATGAAGAAAGCCAGGATGGACAGGGTACATAGCGGGGTTTCCACTGCGGACCGAGCCCAGCCCACCGCCATTCTTAGATGCCAGAGGCTTCTGTGCTCCACACTCATCATGGATGTGACCTGCGGTCACCCGTAGCACAGAGCCATGAGGTAGAAATGTCCTTCTCAGGGCGCACCATGCAGGAGAGGCCCAGCCCGGCCCAGCACAGGGCCTTCAACCTAGATCCTCTCTAGGCCCTATCCCTGGTGCCCAGGACCCTCCCAGCCCCAAAGAATCCTCCTGCCGGGCACTCACAGTGGGTCCCAGGATACACCCGCGGGGAGACTGCTATGTTCCCCCCGCGCCTCTCGGGGCATGCTAGGACCAATGTGTGTTGTGGGCCAGGCCCTGCCCCCTGCCGGCCACTCACCTGGAGAGAGCCACACAGCCAGTGTACCAGGCAGCAGGGCTCTCGCGCCCACATGGCCGCCCGTGGCCCCGGCCAGCTCCGCTATAGAAACCGCCCTTTGGAGAGGCCACGGGACGGGTTCTCTCCAGTCTTGGTTTCCTGCTGCTTCAGAGTGTCTTTCTGCTCTCCACTTCCCAGGAGAAACCTCTTCTCCCGCTTCCTGGGGACGCGAACCCCACTGCCCTGAGGACTGCCGACGCGTGGAACAAGGTTGCGCCCAATTCTCGGACGTCCGCCTTGGGCCCCCACCTCCCGGGTACAGCCCTGTCCTCTTCCTCGACAACCTCCGTGAGGTAAGGGCACCCGCCGCACCCACCGTGGCTCAGACCACACGCTGCCCAGCACGAGGGCCAGACTGCCCGGGAGCCCCTCTGAGCCCTCCCTCGTCACTCCTTCCAGGAGACAGACAGCAGGTCCAGAGGCGGCCTGGGCCCTGGCAGGATGACGCCCAACGGGCAGGACCCTCCAGGAGGCAGCAGGTAGGAGAGGGTGACCGACTCGGGACATTTGCCGCTTTGGCGTAGCCTCCCAGGTGCATGTCCTCAGGGGTGGAAGTCAAGGCGCCTGGGGTTGCAGGTGCTGCTGTGGCCGCTCCTTTCCGCCCACCTCCCGGGAGCCCGGCTCCGGTCCGGGTCGGCCTGCTCTGGGCCATGGCTCAGACAGACCCGAGGTGGGCAGAGCAGGGTGGTCTGCTTCTTCAGGGGACGCCCATGACAGGGAAGCCAGCTGGGCAGAAAGGGATGCTCCTCGAGTGGGCACATGGGCCGGGAGGGGCCCACTGGGTGGGCAGAGCAGCCCTCACTGATCTGCGCCTGGCAGCCACGGGCTTACCACACACCAGCCACATACCCGCCACGGCCCGGGGTCCGCAGCAGCCCATCCCGCGGCGGAGCAGACCCTGGACAGGGACGCGTGCCCCTGTGGGGCCCGAGGTGACAGCATCTGTCAGTGCCTCTCGGCCGCACGCTCTTTCCAGCCCACTGCCCTGCGGGGAGGAAGACTGACTTCCAGAGAAGTCTTTCCCAGCATCGGCTTGTGGGAGCAGCCCCTCCCCTGCCAGGCCTTGGGGCCCGACTGGGAGCTCCCCTCTGGGAGCCGTGGGGGGATGGCAGCAGCGCCACGGGCCGCATGCGGAGGCAGAGAAATCACTGCTCTTGAAAGACAGGAGCCCTCCCCCAGGGCCCGGGCGCACGGGGCCCGGCAGGGGTGCGGCAGGGGAGATAGAGGCCCCTCGGGGGCAGGGAGGGGTGCCAGGCCTTCCCAGATGTCCACCTGCCAGCAAGGGCAGGCCTCTGTCCAGTGCGTGTGGCCCCACCAGGCCTGGGGGCCGTGAAAAGAGCCACGTCTGAGGGCAGAGGCCTTTGGGCACAGACGCGACGATGAAGCTCGAGGAAACTGGGAAATGCAGGAGAAACGGGAGGAGGCCGCGGCGGCCGCCGCTCCCGCAGTCAGATGGCTCCCGGCTGACGCCAGCGGGCGGGGACCGGTCCGGGACACCCGGAGGCTGGCACGGGGTCCGCCGACTGACAAGCCTTTGATCCCACTCCCGCGGCGGAGCCGGGACTCGCTGCTTGCTGGGGAATGTGCCTCCCCGCATGGGCTCTGAGTCGCGTTTGCGCGTTAGCTGTGAGGCCGCTCGGCTCGCTGAGGGGAGAAGCGCAGACTTAGGAAAAACGGCCAGGATCCTGCTGAACGTGGAGACGCCACCTTCACCCAGTGTTTCGGTGACAGGGACGCGTGTGAGACCCAGAAGCTGACGTCCAGCGTGCAGGGACCCGGTGCTCAGGGCGGAGTGGAGCCCGCTGTTGTCACCGCGGCAACTCTGAGGCCCACCGCCAAGGCTCCTTCCAGCAAAAAGGAGGCCCTCGCTATCGCTGGCCCTGTCGCTGGCCCGTTCGTCCTGCAGGAGGGGCCCTCATGCTGGAGGGTCGCAGTGCCGGGAGGGAGGGGCCCGGCGGGGGTCCTCGTGCTGGGGGATCGCTGTCCCAGGAAGGCACATTTGCATGTGAAATGCTCCACATCTCGGAGCCTTTCAAGCTCGTGACATGGCCTTGACGCAGGCCGGCCGTTTGAGGTTCATGGGGGCTGCTGCCCTGTCTCCCCAGGGAGCCCGGATCTCCGGGCAGAAGCCTGGGGAGATGGCTTTCATGGTGAGCTCTGGCGGCTCTGGTGACTTGGCGTTGGACGGGTCATCTGTAGGCACAGGTCTGAGCCTTGGTGCGGCTGCAGAGTGCCCCCCGGAGCCCACCTCCCTAACCCAGTCACAGGGTCTGTGTGGCATGACCCCTCTCTCAGACCCCAGGTCCCCCACGACAGCGGCCTTCAGGGCCCCGTGCTCTGTGTCGCATCGGGGCGCCTGGCGCTCCCCTGGCCCCCATGCGGAGGAGTGAGGGGGAGCCTGCCCGATGCCCCCGGCCAGCATCGCTCTGCTCTGGGGACATGGGCCCTCCCCAATGCCCCCCGCCAGTTCCTGACTCTGGTTCCGGCACCGGCTCCCCACACCAGCAAACTTGGCTCCTGACCCCCAAAGCCCACCTTTTGGAATTCTAAGAAAACCATCCTTCCTAGCGAGCAAGGCTGGCCCTGGCAGGTCAGAGGGCCTAGATTTCACACGGGGTCCAGTTTGCCAGGTCTCGGCCAGGTCTCGGGTGTGTGGCTGCCCTTCTGTCCACCCCCCCGGTCACCTCCACGTGAACGAGATGCTCCCGACACTGCGAGCCCCCAGCGGCCAGGACCCATGGGGGAGGGGACAACAGGAAGGGGCTCTAGCAGCTTCCTGCCCCTGCCAGCCCCCGCCCAGCGTGCTGCCCCCGCCTTGCTAACCCTAACCCCAGACTGTGTCCCGCCAGCGGGGCATCCCAGCCCCGAATTCTGCATTTCTGGCTCTGCGTTTGCAGCCTGCCCCCCAGTCTAGACTGAGCCCCCTGGAGGGAGTGGCCATGGGGAGAAAAGGCTGGGAGGGGGCGGCTCCCCAACCCTGTCTCCCCGTGGCAACAAAGGGGCCGTGCCCAAAGCAACCCCAGGGACACAGAGCCGTGGGCCCTGGTGCCCACACCCCCAAACCATAGGCTCTACCGACTTCTCTCACCTCCCCAGTGACCAGAACCGTCCTTTCCGACCCAGTTCCCAAAGTTAAGAACTTCCGTGTGTGCAGATGGCTTCCACACCCAGAGACCCTCCACATGCTGCCCCCTCCCAGTGGCCAGCGACCAGGGTCGCAAAGCGGCCTGCGGGTGTTGGCACCAGGTTCAAGAACTCTGCAGGCAGCGGGACGGTGGGACCCACGGGCTGAGGTGACTGTCCCAGCCGTGCACAGCCTCAGACCCCAAGGTCGGGAGGCTAGGATAACCAAGCGGTCCGGGTGGCTGCCATCCCATCCCATCCCACTTGGTGTGGCCCGAGTGGGAGAAGGAGTCTGTGGGAGCAGCCACCAGGGCTGGGCTGCGGGCTGAGGTACAGCTCGCACCAACATAGGCCGTCTGTCCTGCAGGACAGCCTCGGCGTGCCCTCACCCCCTGCAGCACCCCCCCCCCCCACTGCCAAGAGTCCCTTCTGCGTGCTCCTGGGCCCCTGGGAAAGGCCAGGCCTTGCTGCGCCTCCTGTCGCCGTCAGCTGTGGACCTTTGTCCGTGCCTGGGGCCGGTCACCCCTCACAGCCGCTGGAGGCCACGTGCTCGCCCACAGACTCACTTTGCCTGTGAGCAGCTCCTTACCACCATCCAGGGGCTCACACGATAGACATGATTGAACAAGATTAAGAGAGACTCGCCACCCCGTAATTTTGGAGCCTGGCAGAGGTTTTCATCTCCGTAAGAAGGGTAGAGTGCTCCGGAGGACTCCCCATGTCTTGCTACAACTTCCAGGCGTAATTCCGCATCAGCCTCCGTGGCGAAGAGGAACCAGCTTCGTGCGTTTTGGCGGAGGGAAGGGAGGTCAGATGCCGTGGCCCCTGGGCTCCCAGAGGCTTCTCCCCTCCAGCACACACGCTCTGATGGCTTTCGCTTGGGGTGTGTGCCCACCCAGGGAAGGGGCGCTCAGGGGCAGCCAAGTGCTAAGGGGCCCAGCCCCCAGCCCACTCGGGGCCCCTTGCGACGCGCGCCTGGCAGAGTCCCCTGCCAGGAGGGCCCTGGATGTGGATGACAGGAGAGGGGCCTGCTGAGGTCCCGAGCAGGGTCCCAGGGTCCCAGAGGGTCACAGCCCCGCCTGACTCTTTCCCCAGGGAATGGCATGGATCAGGCCTGGAGTTGCCGCCTCCCCTGGCTTGGGTGTGGCTGCTCCAGTCCCCGAGTGCCCAGGCCAGCTAGCTCCTGCAGGGCGAGGCAGCCTGTGGACGGGGCCCCTCGGTGTGGACCCAGACAGGGCGGGGCGGCAGATGGCCATGGGAGTCCCACATCTACCGTATCCCTGTGGCAGAGCGTGGCAGTTGCCAGCTGGGCCCAGCCAGGAGCCACAAGGCTGCATCTCCGTGCCCGAGGCCTGGGGCGAGGCTGTGTCCCAAGGGCCCCAGGGGCCTACTGCTGTGCTCCGTGGGCCCAGGCCAGACCTAGCGGCACAGGCAGGACTCTTGGGCTCGCACCCAGCTCTGGCTCTTCACCGGCTGGGCCTGCCCGACTGGAGCCCATGGCCCTGCCGGGGCCTGCACCCCGAGCCTGTCCTCGCTGGGACCCCGGTGACCACGGAGCATCGCCCGGTCTGCGGCTTGTCCCCGGGAGAGTCCAGTTTCCACCGCAGGCTTCTCGCTGCCTTCCTGCGGAGGCATTCCTGGCGCATCACGGGCTTTCACAACGTGATACAGAGCCCTGTCAGCTCCTGAGTGATGTGAGATCGTGTCGACTGCAGAGACAGAGATGGTTTTGGAAACGTGGCCGTGAGCGTGCCCGGCCACCCACGAGGATTCCACTGAATCAGGGCATGGCCCCCTCCCCAAAATCCCAAGCGTGTGCTCTGTGGTGGGACATGGCCACCGTCCACAGCCCCAGCTGGCAGCCTGGGAAGACCTCAGGGGCGACCTTGCCCCTGCCTGCTCGCTGCCGGCTCAGTACACGGCCGGCCGGACCCTGACGCGCACTGGCCAGCACAGCCCCTCCGCTGCTCACTCAGAGAAAAATGGGTTTAATTAAGACTTCCGTGATTAGTCATTTAATCAGTCATCAGACCAACACAGATGGAGCCAATTAATCGTTTTACTTGAATAGACGGTTGGGGCTGGCGGCCCGTCCACGCAGGGTCACACAGGTGACCGCCGAGCACCTGACGCAGGCCCCCACCTCTCCACGCTGACCCTGCCCCAGGGACACAGGTCCACCTGCCATCCCCCACCCCCGTCTGTCCTGGGGCCTGGGCACTATCCTGTCCACCCCCAGCGGGCCCATCACGACCCAGAGGTGCTCCGGGCAGAGGCCTCCACAGTCAGCGGGGTCCCGGCAAAGACAGGCTCGGGGTGCTGACCCCGGTGGGGACACAGGCTCCAGGCGGGTCACCCTTCCCTTGGCCACAGGTCCCTCCCAGAGCGGGCTCAGTCTCTGCCCCCTGTCCCGAGGCCAGCGGCGCCTCTGGGTGTGTTCCCGGATAACAAGAGATGGGGATTGATGACTTTCTCTGCTTCCTCCGAAACTCTGGAGATGAGAAGCGAGCACCGTCCCGAGCAGGAGTAACCAACGGAAGCAGGGGTGAGGGCCGGGAGGGAACGGCCAGGCCGGCATCCTAGGCCCCCCGTGGCACAGGTGGGATGTTTCCCGCCTGATGCTGGGCTGGGATAGTGACCTGGGCAGCAGATGGAGGCTGGCGGTGGGGGGCGTCCTCACAGCTGCCCCCCCCAGCAGGGCCCCCCTTGGCTTTCTGGGCCCAGAACTGACTGCCCGCTGGGGACAGGAGCCCCTAAATGGTCCTTGGAGCTCCGCGCCCCCCGCTGCCCCCCGGGTCCAGGCCGAGATTTCCCAGGGGCCTCTGGGGCACGTGCGTTCAGCCGCTCTCCTGCCGGCGCGTGCGGGCCTCACTCCGAGGCGCCCTTGTACCCGTGTAACCCGTGGGCCCAGAGTGAGCTTGGGTGAGGACAGGCCTGCCTGCTGGGTGCCCATGGAGCCAACCACCCTCTGCTGAGGGGGAGAAGCCGGGGCTGCACTCCACGGCCTATGTACTCTGTGGCTCTCGCTCAGGGCCCGTGGGTCTCAGGGGCCCCTGGCAGGCCGCGTCCCAGCGCAGCCCCAGATCCAGGCCAGCCGTGCTCCCGCAGTTACCAGACTGTCCTAATTTTGCAACTTTCTTCTGGGCACTCGGTGGGAGCCATAGAAAGCCCTGGGGCTCGCTTCCCATGTGAGTGGGTCAGGATCGACCCCCGATCGAGCCCTGAGCCTGCGCCCCCAGCCCCCCGCCACCTGTCTGGACGTCAGTCAGTGCTCTCCTCGTCTAACCGAAGGGCCACCAAGCCCACAGCCCTGCCTGTCCCTCGGTGACCTGGTGGACAGGCCTGAGTCACCTGGGCTGCTAGAGATCTTGGGCTCACCCGAGGGAACCCCCTTCTCCTGCCGTCCACTGTATGCTTGGCCGTGGGGTCTTCACACCCCCTCCCCAGCTGCCCCCCCTCCCCCGTGCAGTTGCCCAGTTAAAGGTCAAGTGCACACATGGGCTCCAGGCCCACTGGGTCAGGGTCAGCTGACCGGCCTCAGGCTTCCTCTCCAATTAGGGCCATTTCTTCAGCTCTGCCAACCTGCCCTCCCCAGCCAGGGCCATGCAGAGAAGCACAGAGAAGCCACACGCCCCAGGGTTTGCCTGTGGCCCCCAGGCCCCGCCCAGGCTGCTGCGGACGGACAGCGCCTCAGTGACAGTTCTGCTTAGGGTCAGACGTGTTCGTGGGAATTCCAGTGGGACAACATCCCCAGGCCCCTTCTTGGCAGGGCCTTGTGACTTGTCAGTGCGGCCCTGAGAAGAGGTGGGGTCAGGAGAGCCTGTTGAGGTCACATGGCTCAGACAAGGACATTCTCGGGGCCTAAGAAAAAGAAAAGACATGGGGTCGTGGAGGGCACCAGGGCCAGCTGTGCGGAGGGGAAGCAACTGCACCGGTGAGCCCCTCAAGGAGCTGGGCACAAGGAAGAACCTGCAGGTTTACCTTGTTGACCTTGGCAGGAGGCCATCCGGTTCCCCTCCTGGGGCCCGCTGGGCCACGCATCCCACGGGGGCAGGCAGAAGGTGAGGCCCACGAGGCCTTGCGGGGACTGGGGCCTCAATACGGGAGAGTCACGTGGGGCCAGCCCCACCTCACAGGGCCACAAGCCATTGGAACAAGATGCCATTTGAGGACTTTCGAGGACAACCCCAATAGCAGGGGCAGAGGCCTCATGCTCGGCCTTCCACAAGGAGGCCCAGCCCTTCAGGAGTGGCCACAAGGACATGAGCTGGGGACACCAGGGCCCCACATCTCAGTTCAGCCTACAGACGCAGAAACAGGCTTCTGCTCCCAGCCAGGCTGAAGTGCGGGGGCTGGATCCCCCCGGCCCCTCCAGGTGAACAAGAAACAAGTGGAACAAGATCCAGGAAGCAACAGCCCCGCCGTCACGCCGCCGTAAGGCCCCAGCCCAGTTCCTGAGCGTTTCCAGGTGTGGTGCAGGGAGGGGACCCAGCAGGTCCCGGGGTCCCCACAAGGGCAGACATGGAGCTGGGATTCCTAGGGCAGCCAAGGCAGCCAGAGTCCGCAGGAGGGAGCACGGGAGAGAGCCCTGGAGATCTGCAGAGCATGAGGAACGTGCCTGAAGCCTGGAAGACCACAGGGAGGGTCACGACCAGTCCTGCCCAGAGCTCACACGGAGCTGTGGGGCGTTGGGTCCAGCGGTCAGCCCGGAAGACCTCCGGATTCATCCCAAGACATCAGAAGAGTATTTAGTATTGGGGAATAACGAACCCTGTCTTGAACTATGCCTGATACACCCTAGGAGCCAGACCCAAAAGGATCAAACCATCTCCAAGTAACGGAACAGCGTCCGAAACGCGGGAGCCAGGAGAGGAAGCCATGGTGTTGGACGTCCGGCTGAGGGTGACCAGGCACACAAAGCAGGAAAGTAGAGCCCATAACCAGGAAGAATAAACCAGTCAAAGCCAACCCAGAAACGACAGAAACGGGAGAATCAGTGGACGGGGACGGGAAACGCGGAGAGGAGATGCTCGTCCAGCAGGGAAGACCGGCCGCGCTCGGCCGATGCGGGGGTGGGAGGGAGTGGAGTCGCCCGCGGGAGCCGACACGCGTGGGCAGGGACGGGTGGAAGGAAAGGAGAGCCGTGAGCTTCCAGGGACGCCACGGCAGCCCCCCAAATGCAGCCCGGAAAGAAAACCTGGTGAAGGTCACGAGCAGAGTCCCACCGGCCAACCACGCACAAGGTCAGAGGCCGAGAGACGCAGAAGAGTAACCTGTGGATTCAAGACACAAGGAGCCCCAAACACAGGAAGCCTGAGGACAAGGACAGCAGCTGCGGGTACAGAGAACACGCAGGACGCGGCTCCGGGCCCGGCCCCAGCCCAGCTCCCAGCAATGCCCCCAGCCCCCCGCCCGCCCACCGGGGGCTCCTGTGTCTGCCCAGGAAGCCAGTCTGCTCCCCCCGCTCTGACAGCCCCTGAACCCCGAGGCTCAGCCCGCGGCTGTCTACACGGCCCGCACCCAGTCCGAGTTCCCGCTGCGTCCCCGGCTCACGCGGCCGCCCAGCGCTGCCGCCTCGGACCCGCCCCTGCTCTCCTAGGGCACCGTGTGCCCACGCCATCCCCACGCCGTCCCTCTAACGGGCGCCCCTGACATCTCACTCCGCAGCTCCCCAGCTCCTTCCCGGCTCTGCCTCTCCTTCTCTGGAAGCTGGCAGGCGGACAGACTCTGGTTATTCTTAGTGCGGAATTATTTATCCGCGTTCCTGCTCACCCACACTTCAGAATTCGTAACGTGGCTCCTGGGTCCAAGCCAAGGCCCATTTTCCCCCACTTGAAATGAAGTAATTTTAAAATCTTTTGTCTTTAATTTTTTATCACCCAAACCATGCCTGTGGTGATTAAGCTTGGCAAAGGGTCGGAGCCTGGCGGGTCGCTGAGCCGATGCCAGGGAGCCCCCCGTCCTCCACCTCCCCCACCAGTTCTGATGACAGGAAACCGCCATCCACGGAGGGCAGGGGTGGGAGGAGTCCCCCAGCTCCCCCCAGGTCCCACTGGGTAGAGAATTCAGGGCAAGGCCCAGCCGGCCGCACTCGGGACCTCCATCCCGCCAGGAAAGCTTGTCTGGCAGCGGGAGGAGTCGGGTGGGCCGTCCCACCAAGGTGGCGGGGGGCGGCTGAGGGCCCGACCCAGGGCAGAAGCTGAGGACTTGCACCGGGGCTCAGGGATCCTGCACCAGGGGTCCCCTTGTCCTCACCGGCGCACGGCGTATCCCCCTGGGCAGGCGACCGCCCCTGTGGGCAGGCAGAATGGGCACAGCGCCGCGCACCACAGAGAGGAGAACCTCCCGTCAGGTCAGAGCCTCAGGCTGCCCACCGGGCCCTCCTGTGGCGGCCATGGCCAAAAGTGAGGGTCTCTGCCCCTCAGACGTGGGGCCAGGCCTGGGCCCATCCCTCTTGCCTCTGCCTGCTACCTTTCCAGTCCATTCCCGTGAGTCTCCCAGACAGCAGCGGCCTCGGTCCTTCTGAGGGGACCCACGGGGAGGCACCGGTGCCCCACAGCCCCCGTCCCACGGCGCCCAGCTGCCTCGGGAATGCACGTGCCAAGTGCAGTGGGCCCGGTGCGTCGGCCCTTCCCGGAGCCGCTCCCCTGCCCAGCGCTGCGCGGCCTCGTGCGCCCAAACCTGCAGCTCGGTTCTGCTCGCAGCGCTGCTGGCTGTGGGCTCATTCGGGTGTAGACAGGAAGGCACCAGCCGAGGGGCGGAGAGCCGTCCGGAGGGGATCGCGCACACTGCCCTCGGAAGGCGGGGGTGGGGGGGTCTCCGAGGACAGGATGGTCGCAGCTGTGCCCACGCAGGGCCGAAGGCTGGGGCAGTCATTCAGGGCTTTCCTTCTCTTCTCCCTGCAGGCCTGACGGGGCGGCCTCAGCCGAGCCAGCGGCAGCTGCCTTCCCAGGTAGGTGGGCACGAGGAGGACCCAGTTGAGCGGGCCAAGGCCACCAGTCACCTCACAATCCACATGTATCCTAGTTGTGGACCTTTTGGAAGGTCCCCTGCACCCCCTTCCCCTGCACGCACCCTTAAATTCAACAGCTCCCAGCCTGGCCACCCGGCATACCATCCCGGGCACCCCCAGAGGCACCAGAGGTGGAGGGGACCCTGATGGGCCCAGGGCCTCCACTAGGCCCTCTCCAGCCTCCGTCCCTTCGCGAGGGCTTCAGCACGGGGCAGGTATGGCGAGGGGTGCTTGCCCATCCTGCAGTCCTCTCTGTCCCTGTGGGCAAAGCCCCACCTCTTTGTGTCCAGGGTCCTGAGAGGAAGGCTGGCGGGCCTCCAGGTCTGGGCCTGCTCTGACCCCGTGTACGTATGGGAGTGTCGGCAGGACCGTGCCCCTGAGCCCACCTTGTACAGGAGGAGGGCTGGGTCCTGGTTGGCGCCCCCCACGTCCCCCTTTGGGCTGGCACTGGGGGTCCCAGCAGCAGCCCCACGAGTCTGGTGCCATGCTCCCCATATCTCATGCCCCTGGGACCCTCGTGCCCCAGGAGGAGGGTGGGCAGAGGGGACGCGCCGAGTTGGGAGGACCGATGGGACTGGCTGGAGGAGGGCCAGGCCCTGAGGAGAAGCAGTTTCCAGACTGTAGGGACAAGCCAGCGGGTGGCCAAGTTCCTGGGATGTGGGCCGTGTGTCTCTGTGGGGACTCCGGGCACAGGGCCCGCGACCAGAGCGTGTGGGCCGGGCCTGGGGTGGCCGGCAGCCAGACCCTCTCCTGGCCACTGGGAAGAGCGTCAGGAGCGAGGTCAGACGAGGCTGGGCTGGGTCCCGTGGCCGCTGCCCACGCAGCCCGGCTCCCCGGCCGGGCCGCAGGCTGGCGGAGCTGTGTTCCCGGGAACACCTAGAAACCCCAGCTGCTTGGAAACACTGTGGCGTTGCCATGCGCGGGTCTCCTCCAGGCCGGCCCAGGAGGCCTGGAGCCCAGGGCTGTGGAATGTGGGCCCCCCCGGGCCCCCCGAGCTGCTGAAGGGACTGACTCAGAGCCCAGCCAGTTCCTGCCACCGAGCGCTCCCTCACCCGGGCCCAGGAGCACGCGGTGTCCGCAGGCGTGGAGAGGAGAGGGCCTGCGTTCCAGACCGGGCGCTGGAATGTTCTCCCTGACGGTGTGAGCTGTGTCCTGTGCCCCATTTCAGCTGCGGCCGCATTCCTGGTGTGAGCAGGGGCCAGCCCAGCGCGCTTTTTCCACGCTCGGGTGCCAGCCCCCTTGGGCTCATGGGGGAGGAGAGAGGACGGTTTCTAGGGCAACCGCACTTTCTGTTATTTCTTATTTTCTTTTTTATGGCTTCTCCAACTTTGAAACCCTGCAGACAGTTTACAGACGGTGAGAGGGAAACTGCTGCCCCTTCTCCTGAGCCCACCGGCGGGCGGCCTCCTGCCCCAGCCCCCAGCCGGCCCAGCGGCCACATCTCCCCAGCCGTCACTGCTTAAAAAAAACATCTTAGAGAAAATGAATTCTTTTTCTACTAAAAAGACGGGGAGTATTTTCAAAAGAATCCTTGCACTCAGCCATGCAGCCCCACCAGCACTGAGGGCTCTCCGCCCCCCCAGCGCCCGGGTCACCGGCCAAGGAGTAGGCCCGGACCCTCCAGCGGGGCACCGAGGCAGGGTGTGCGGGAGGACAGGAGCCGAGGCTGGACAGAGGCAGGGGCAGGAGCCTGGGCAGACGGGGGCTGTGGGGGCCGCAGGGGCCACGTCTGAGCGCCTGTCTTTTGCAGGGGAGTATGTCATCATGATCTGTGACGTGACCAACCCTCCCTTCCTGGGCCACACGCTGCCCACCGCCTTCAAACACCTGCGGGTCTTGGGGAAGGGGATGGACCAACGGCCCCACGTGGCTGGAGAAGGCCCCGACACCCAAGCTCGGACAGCCGCCCCGTGCACCTGACAGCCCCCAGGGTCCCTCTCGGGAGACCATCTTCACTGTGAGGGGAAGGAAGAGCCATGTCAGCTCCGCGGGGCCCCTTCCCCCACTTCCCCGGCGGGCCCGAGGGCCACCCTCGCACACCCCATGGCTTCAGTAAAACGCTCAGCACCAGCTCCTGAGAGACGCCTGACCCACACAGCCAGGACCCCTTGGGGGGCACCTCCACTCCCCCTGGCTGGGCTGGGGAGAGGCTGGTCCTGGTCTCCCACCCCAGAGTCTGGCAGGACTGCCTCCCAACAACAGTCCAGCCCCTGGAGGGTGGCTCCCCCACCCCACCCCGTCCCACCCCTGCCGCAGGCCACTCAGGGACATGGGGACCTGCTGCCATATGAAAACCCAGAGGCTCCAGCGGGTGATTGGTTTTCTGGAAGCGAATTGCGGGTCTGGGGGACAGTTCTTGAAGTTCACGGCTGCCTCTGAGACCAGCCCAGGGCCTGGGAGCGGGGAGACCCCGGGAGGCTGTGGCCATTGGACGGGGATGGGTGGGGGACGGGCCAGAGCCAGGACCCAAGGCCTCCACCGGCTCCTGCCTCCAGGGCCACTGGGGCCCACCCTGTGCGCGCGGTGTGGGCGGGAGCTGGGCTGGGCCCTCGCTGGAAGCCCGTCACCTCTTCTCTGAGGAATGGGGAGCAGGGAGGGACCACCCAGCCCCCAGCCCCGGGAAACACATTTCTGCTTCCTGTCCCCGGAACCCTACGGACCCCGCGCCCCTCCACCCAGCACCCGCAGCCCTCCTGTGCTTGCGTCTGCACTCTGCCTCCCACCCTCCGGCCGGAGCCCCCCACCCCTCCCTCGGGCGCCACACGCGGTCCGCGTCCACGTAGCCGAGGCCTCCTCGGCCCCTCCACTGGGCCGCCCCCTGCCCCTCGCCCCACAGTCCTCATTGTTCAGGCACAAATGCTTGGCTCCTATCTCTGCTTCTCCCCTGCCCTGTGGTCCATGGCCAGTCTTGTCGGCTCTGCTTCGAAGTGCATCCCCAGCCCGGCCCCACCTGCCCGCACCCTGCACACAGCAGGCGCCGTCAGGGTTCACTCCCCATGTCTGTGCCAGGACCTCCAGGCCAGCCAGAGCGGGTCCCGCGCTCACTGCCCTTACCTCCTGTGCTCCCCTGGCTCCCTGCCCTCCGCTCACACAGGCCCCTGCAGCTGCCCCGCCCTGCCTGGTTCCGCCTCAGGGCCTTTGCATGCACTCTTCACGCTGCCTACACCGCTCGCCTCCCTGAAGCCACCTTCTCATGAGGCCTTCCTTGGCCACCAGCTCTGAAGCCTCACCCCACCTCCAGCGAACACTTCCTGCTCCCCAGCCCACCTCACGTGCGCAGGTCAGGGGGCTGCCCGGCCTGGCCATGCGTCTGGTTTCAGCCTCCAAACAAAGGGAGGCGTTGCGTCAGTTTTGCTCCCTCGTGTAGCCTCAGCATCTAGCAAGGGTCTTCTCCTCAGAGGAAGGTGGCTTTTCCACGTCTCACTGGGACCCAGTGTGACCCCCACAGTGTGACCCTTAGAGGCCCTCAGCAAATGTCGGCTGAATGAGTGGGTGAATGGGAGCCCCTACTCTGTGCCAGGCAGAATGGGACAGTGGAGGCAAACCGGGCAGAGGAGGTGTGCAGGGAGACTGGTAGCTGAGTAACTGGAAGGAGGGAAGGATGGACAGAAGGGTGGGTGGACGGACAGACGCGTGGGTGGTGGACAGGTGGATGGACAGTGGTTGGGTGATGGGTGGGTGGATGGATGGACGGACGGACAGTGGTTGGGCGGGTCAGCGGATGGGTGAGGATGTGCACAGAAGGACAGACGGGTAGACAGATGTGTGGCCAGGTGGGAGGACGGTGGGGACGGATGGACGGAGCAGAGGTCCGTCCGTCGGTGAAGGAGGAAGGCTCGCGCAGAATAGTTGTGTTCTCACGCTGAAGGCAAAAGCGGCGGAGGAGGAAAGGATCCCTGGGTCCAAACCAGCCCAAACCAGACAGCCTTTCTCACCCAGCCAGCCGCCCCTCCCACCGCCCTCCCTGCCGTTCTCTCCTTCTCTCGTCTGTCTCCCAGCCAGTTCGGCCCCGGTAGGACTGGCGCGGTGGGCCGACCAATCGGCCCCACTGACCCTCCACCCAAGTGCTCCGTCCCCACCTCCAGAGCCGGTGGGGCAGCCCCCCAAGAGCCAGCTGTGACCACAGCGTCAGGCCACTGGGGGACACGAGAGCCCGAAAGGCAAAGGCACTTCTGGACCTCCCTGACCGGGGAATGAGGTGCGGGGGAACGAGCTGCAGCCGCCGCCCTTCCCAGCCCGTGAGCTCAGGCGGCCACAGATGCCGCCAGCCTGCCCGAGCCGGCTTCTGCCTCGGGCCGGCCGCCTGCGTAGGTGTCTCCAGCAGTGAGTCCCCAGGAAGGATCCATTCCCGGGACCCATGGACTCCTAGGTCAGAGCGCCTGGGTCCTCAGGGCTGCGTCCACAGGGGTCTGCATGTCGTGGACAGACCGGGGTCAGGAGGCCACCCACTCCGGAGACCCCCAGCTTCATCTGCGCTCACCATCCACCTGGGTCTGCCCCTGAGGCTCAGCAACTCGTTCCGTGGCTCTTTCCTCTTTTCCAGATGAAACCATACTCCCGGCAAAAGAAAAACAATGAAAATGATGTTTATGTTTAGGAGGAGAAGCGTGCTGGGCACAGAGCGCTCCTGTGTTTCCCAACTTGTCCGGGGGGTGGGGCGGGGGCCTTCGCTATTTCTATCCAAATCATCACCGTGGGGCTCAGTCACAAAACCCAGGGAACAAGTTCAGAGTCAGAGCGCTGAACAGACCTAGGCCCCCAGAGCCCTGGACGCGGGGGGAGGGGAGGAGGGTCAGCCCCCTCGGCCCCTGGGCAGACGCAGAGGAAGGCCGACTCTGCAGGCCTGCACACACACAGCCCCCGAGACCTCCTACTTTCCAGTCACCCCAGCAAACCCCAGAGGGCTCTCCCCACCCACCCCCCAGCGCCCTGGATGGCCTACAGGGACAGGGGCCCCTCAGCGAGGCCTGGGGAGAGCTCAGATCCCATGGACCCATGTTTGGGCAGGTCCCCTGCCCCGCCCCACTGCCCCCCTCTGCTGGGATGCCTGGGTGAGGTGCTTCTGAGCCAGGGACCAGCATCCCTTCCCGGGCCTCTGCCCTGGGACTCGTGTGTGCGTCTGCTGTCTGCGCGGGGCCTGCTGGGTGGGCACCAGACGCGGCTGCTCTCACCCCGACCAGACCCCTTGTCCTCACACTGGGCCCCACAGGCAAAGCCACAAGAAATTTGAATTCTCAAGAAAAAAAAAGAGGGAGGGTGAGCAGAGGCCAGGCCGCAGACACCGGTCCTGCCTGTGCCCTCCAGGCAGCACAGCCGACACGCGGCCCATCCCGGGGTAGGACAGAGCCTGGGGTGGTGCCTGGGGGAGAGCTCCCCCGGACCTCCAAGCAGCTGTGACACGGGTCCTCAACAGGGGAAGGAGGGGCCTCAGCCTGGTCACCACTCCCTGAGTCAGGGCAGGGAGCGTCCGTGCTGTCCCAGTGGCCTGGGAGGCGGGGGGCAAATGACACCCAGGGTCCCGACTGAGTGGCAATGTGACAGCCCGTGGAGACGGCCCCCGCAGACATCCCAAGGGCCTTCTCCCCAGAGGAAGGCGACTTCTCCGCGTCTCACTGAGTCCCAGCAGGCAGCAGGGGCTACAGTGCGGGCGGCAGGCGGCTGCCCCCCACATGCCTTACACACCGAGAAGCGACCCAGCCTCAGGAGGCTCGGGGAGGGGGTACTGGTCCCAGCAGTATCTGGAGAGCAAGCCGTCCCTCCTGGCCAGTCTCTCCCCGTGGTCTCTCCTCCTGCCGTGCCCTTGCTCAGTGGACAGCGACAGAGGGGAACCCCATGCTGAGCACCTGGCCAGGCAGGGCCTCGAAGAGAACATACTCGTTCTTCACAAGGACTTGTCCAGCCAGAGTCAGAGCCCGAGAGCTCAGAAATCAGGGAGAAGGAAAAATCAGACGCGTGTCCCTCTGCCTGGCCCACCTCCCAGCAGGGCCTTGGCGAGTGTGATGTCCCCAGCCACCCCTCGCCAGCCTGGCGTCGACATGGGACCAAGCCCACCCTCCCACAGGGCCCCACCTGGCACAGCTCGCCCAGCCTCCTCTCCCACTGGCCGGCCGGTCACCGGGGAAGCCCGAGGGGGAGGCCTCCTGTCCGCAAAGCCTGGCCAGGCTGCCTGGTCTCCGTGCCGGGAGGGCAGCAAGGCTGGCCGTGCGGAGCCCCGGCTCCCGGGCAGGACTTCCTGGGGTGTTCCTGTGAGGCCTGGCTCAGTCTGCCAGCCACCTGCGTGTCCCAGGTGGCCCCCAGCTCCCTGGGGTTCCTCGGTCCTGAGCGAGTGTTAGTGGGGTCACCAGGCCAGCTTCAGCAAGACCATCTCTGGGCAGGCAGCTCTCAGCACGGGCAACAGTCACAACTGCGTGGGCCGTCCCCTTCCTGCCCCTGTCCCCTCAAGGCAGAACACAGCCACTGAGAGCCATTCCACAGCCTCTCTGACAGAAGGCTGGGCCACAGTGGGCACAGGACACCTTGAGAGGCAGACGAGGGCCTGAGCAGGTGCAGAGGAGCTGCCTTGGGTACCCTGCCCATCAGGTGATCCTGGGGGCCCACAGCCTCAGGCCGGGGACCACTGTGGTTCCTCCACAAGCTGAGGGGATGGCCAGGGGCCATGAGTGGGCCAGGCGGCACCCCGTACTGGCCGAAGCTGCCCTGGCCTCGGTTCCCCTTGGCATGAGGCCCTGGGTGTCCAGGGGCAGGAGGCCACCCCACTGCTGTGGCCACGGAGTTTTCTGATGGGAACTCTGCATAGGGCTGTCGTCGGCTGGTGGGGCAGCTGGGTAGCCTGCCAGAGCCTGCCCAACAGGCTGGGCTCAGCCGTCCCCACCCCCATGTGACCCCCAGATGGTGGTACCCCCCCAAATTCTAGAAAACTGCTCCTCCTGGCAACTCTGCCCCGGGGTTCAGGGAACTGCCAGCTGCCCCCCAGCCCTGCTC